CTTAAAAGCCTCCATGTTTCTTTCATGAGTAAGAGAGATGTACAAAGAGCACCCCTAATGTGATCTTGATTTCTTAGTGAATCCCAAACCCAGCCAGCCCCAGATCACAGACACGTGTGTGCCCGGAGTCCTCAGGGAGGTCTCCCAGCTCAGAACCTTCCCATGTGAGTGTTTTTGGGAACTTCGTGTGAAATTCCAGGTTCTTGGGTCTGACCCTCTAAGGTTAGAGACCTATCCCAAGAAACAAACAAAACCATAACCACAAGGAAAGCATGAAAAGAGAAGTTTTCGATAAAAAGAGATTTAAATAGAAAAGTGTACTCAAAGGCATTTGGATGGGTGAGTGGACAACTGCACCAAGGAATGGGGTTAGGTACTACTTTTTTCGGAGGTGTTTTGTCATAAATATTTAGTAGGGGAGGTCTGCCGCTGTAGTGGCTCTTTTGTTGGGTGGGCTTTTGTGAGTCCTGTGTACTTCTTATCAGGTAAAGGAATTTGATTTTCCAGTTGGAGAAAGGTCTACACATGCCCAGTATGGACTGTGAAGGTATGAACAGGTGCACAGGGACTGTTTTGCTCGTATCAGTCCATTGCCAGGAGGAGAGGTAAGATGTATACCCTGCGGGAGAATGCCTGTGTGCATATACGGAACAGCCAGAGGGAAGATAATCTTCTCCAGGCTTTTTGATGAAAGCTTCGATAAGGAAAGTGAAAAAAGCTTCCCATTCCCAGGCAGGGAAGGAGGAGGGAGTCTGGCGTAACCCCTGATAGGCAGTGACTTGATGAGGCAGATGTCCTTCTTGGGACATTCTGCTCATAGCTACTTGACTGCCTCTAAAGGTCAACTCACAGAGCGTCATGTTTTCCCTGCTGCACCACCATCCAACCCCTGAACCGTCACCTTCACCTAATGTGTTGTTATAATAAAGCAAGTCTGGTGACTTTTTTCATTCTGCCACCCAATCACCATGTCACTGCAGATATACAAGCCTGTTCCATGTGATTTCTTTCCTTTTTTTTTTTTTTTAACATTTATTTGTTTATTTATCTCTTTGTTGTCATTTTCAGGTCCAGGACTTGAACCATGGTCAACCATGTAGGAATTCAGCACCCTAAATACCATGCCACCTGATGGCCCCTTCCATGTGATTTCTTCCCTCGAAAATCACAACCATGTTCTTTGCCAACCACAGTGTAATTTAGCAAAGATCATTGAGATGCTGGCTATAGAGTTTTTAGGTGAAGGACTGTGTAAGCACCTGCTGTCTTTATTTAGCCTAATGAATGTTGATGGCAACTCTGTGATAAAATGATAGTTATTAAGTATGCACTGTCACCATTATGTCGTTATCATTAATTATAATAATTTGAGAAATTGAGGGATTATGTAATATTGCTTTAGTTTGTGACCAGATTTTTATTTATTTATTTGCTTTTTAGTTTTCGTTGTAAGGTGCCAGAGAGAAAGAGGAAAAGTGAGAAATCACCCCCCCCCAGGAGGGGCTGTCCACACCATAATCCCTTCTCCATTCTCCTCTTGGGATTTTGGGTACCCATGTACATGTGTTCAGTATGATTTTTAAACCACAGGGACTCAAACCACAAAATCCACCATGTGGGATCCAGAGCCTTAACCTCCATGACACCTGCTGGCCCAGTGACCAGAGATTCTTGCATCTTTGGGCAAACCAGTAATGAAGCCTTTCTTCTCTTAATGGAGAGAAATTGTAACAGTAGCCCAAGGTAAGCGTCCTGGGATAGAGGGCAGCTCTACACCCCAATCCTGCTTTTCAGAATCCTTGGAAAAGAGTTATGGAAGCACCTCCAGGGACTTCTCTTTCAAAAGCCATTCTGAAGCTCTTTTCTCCTGAGAGTTCTTTTCATTTCATAGTATGAATGTGGCTTGATCACATATGGTAGAACTTTGATCACAAAGCAAGTGGCCTGAGAACTGTTTCTTTGCATTCTAATGAGAGTCTTCAGTTTTCACTCAGCAGAAATCTAAAGACCCTTGACATCTTTATGCCCTGTCTCTTTGTTGTGTAAAACACTCATCCTTCCAAAGCAGGTGACATATCTCTAGTTTAGCCCTAGGGCCACTTCAGTTTGGACATGGCTTGTGTGAAGTTTTATTGCTCCCTTCTTTTCCCCCTGGAGGTTAATTGTGGTTGCATTTTCAGTCATTCTGTCTCCTATAAGTGACTGAAGGATATTTTTTAAATATTCAGAAGGAATCTGGCCTGAAGAAGTTCTATTAAGTAATTCTATACATTTGCTGCTTTCTGGGAAAATGTAGGAAGAAACTGGAAGGGCAAATACAAATCTCAGAGGGCTCTCTTCCCCATAGAGTGTGTGGCCCTAAAATAAAAAAAGAAAAAAAGAAAGCCACTTAACGACTCTTTCCTCCCAGATTTCCTCCCAGTTTTAAAAATTGATTAAGCAAGGCTGGACAGTGGTGCAGCTATGATGCAACGCTCTGTGAGGCTGCGAAGACCCCGGGTTCGCATCCATAGACCTTCCTAAACACACCAGGTGTACATGTGCCCATGACCTGGTGCTGGCTGAAACTGAATGAGAAGTGTGGCATCAGGACCCTGTTGGGGGTGCCTGATCTCTGTTCACCTTTCTCTCTTCCTTTCTCTTACTCAACGAAAAAAGAAAGAAAGACACTTTAAAGAAAAATTGGGAAAGGGCCAGCTACAGTGGTGGAACTGTAGTGGTGTGCTACGCAATGCTGAAGCCACACAGGAAGGTCTCTGGTTCATATCCTGAGCTCTTCCCATACGTACTGTGCACACACACTGCTGCCGTGATCCTGGCTGGCTGAGGCTGGGGCTGACCTGTGGTGCGAAGACTCCGTTGACATTGCTTAATATCACTGACAGGGGCCAGCAGGAGGCATGGTGGTGGAGGCACGGACACCCCCACATGGCTGACCACTGTTTGAGTCCCAGACTTTGTGGCTTCCTTTCTCACTTCTCTTCTCTCTCTCTCTCTCTCTCTGGTCAAATCAAAATAAATTAATGAATGAATAAAATTAAATAAAATAATTCTTTAAAAAATCACTGACAACAGTAAGCTCTAGAGAATGGCTGTTTAACTGTATAAGCTATGAATTGTTTCACTTTGTTTTCACTTCAGGTATTGTCGGGGGAAGCGGTCAGAGTGGTTCTGTGTTTTGCTTTACTTTGTTTCTCAGGTTTGGTTTACATGATGGCGAGTGCATGGCCTGTCATTTACTTTGAGTCTCTTTGTTCCCATTTTTCCGTACCCTTGAGTGGAACTCTAACTGAACCTTCAGAAGAATTGTACCAAACCACAACTCATGTCACTGAATACAAGTCATTAGTGGAGGGGTTTTGGGCACACACATGCATGTGCCCATGCCCATGAGAAGCCCTACAATATGTAATATATTACTCAGTTAATATCAATTAATCCTCTAGTAAGGAATATAAGCACACTAAACATTTTCTCAAGTTAAAAGCCTTTATGGTAACACAGTAAAGTGCAGCTCGTGTTTACCATGCTGTAATGGTAACTACGCAAATTCAGGATGTAAAATTTTAAGTGCTAAGTGGGATTATAGTATCTAGAGAAAATTTCCTAATAGAAATTGTATTTTAAAAGCATAACATTTAATATGCTGGCAATTAATATCTATTTTACAAAGAAGACAGCATGGACATGGCTCAGAAACTTCTTTTTTCACTTGAAAGGTACTGCGTAACTCCTTCCTGCATGTTTCTCGCCTAACTGCTTTGTTTAGACTAACACTATGTTTAGATCTTAGTCACTATAGAGATCTCTTATGAGGTAGTACTGGAGACTCGAGAGGGTGTCTTACAGCGTTGATTTAAAATAGCCCATGGATAACCCACTTACATAGCAGATGACACTAAAAATATAAACAAAATTCATCCCAATCTGCCCACTTTATTCCAGAATACTAGCTAGGAAACACCTTATTTGGTTATCAGCTTTATGGGCACTGGGTTTAAGTAAAGACTCCTTCGTCCCTAAAATGGAACCTGAATAAATGGAATGAGCAGAAAAGACATTTTTTGGAGCCATGTAGACCCTGTGCCAGGTGTCCTAAGAAACAACGTACAGATGTTTGAGACCCAGTGACCACTGTAGGTTTAGACCAGCCTCTGAAGGACCAGAAAGGGTGGCCCTGGAGTCACTGGCCAGCAGCTGTCCTACACAAGAGCCACCAAGGCATACACGTTTGAACGCTTGTTTGACTAAACCAGCCTTCCTCGGGGTCAGAGTCAGTGTAATCACAGAGCATGTAACAAGATCACAATGCCCTCATTCTTGGTCTCCTGACCTTTGTCTTCCGTGCTAAGCAGTGAAAATCAGTGCTCACAATAATCCTGAGACTAACCATCAGGGGAAGAATACATTCTGGCTTGGTGTTCCGGTTATCTGATTACATCCTAGAGGATATAATCCAAAGGACTTGCTGCTCCTGGACTGGAATTGATCCTCAGGCATCTGAGCCACTCAGAGCTGCACTCAGGAATTCGTGTTTTTCTGGCTTAGCCACCAGTGACTCAGGTGCACAATGCTGGAGCCGTATGGAGGCTTGCTGTTTGGATCCCAGGTTGGCCTGAACATGCTGGGCATCCCCAATAGGCACCATGATTCTGGCTGACTGGAAGGCTAGAGGGAGGACTATGGTGTGGTGAGACCACCTCAAGCGTGCCTATCCCTGTCTGTCTCCCTCTCTCTAGCTTTCTGAATGAGTAAATGAACAGACATTACCCACACACAAAAAGTAGGACCTGCTCAATGGCGTACTGGTGACACGCTGCTCAAACCATGCTGGATCCACATGGACGGCTGCTGGTTTAGTGCCCTGGTAGACCTGTACACACTAGGTGCCATGGGGAGAGAGTCGCAGTGAGATCCAGTTGGGGTGGCCTTCACTTTTCCCCTTCTCACTGTCATGAAAGAAAGAAATGTTTTTAAAAAGCCATGTTGTTCTCTTTCAGGACATGGGAAGAAGGCAAGGTGCTCATCTTTGATGACTCCTTTGAGCACGAAGTTTGGCAGGACGCCTCATCTCTCCGGCTGATATTCATCGTGGACGTGTGGCACCCAGAGCTGACTCCCCAGCAGAGACGCAGCCTTCCCGCAATTTAGCCTGTCTGACAGCTGTGGGACCCTCTGGAGAGAGGCTGCCTTTCTGAATCTGTCTCCTTGGCTGTGAGGATAGAAGTTCCAACACCAAGGCTCTGGATTCCCTTGACTTGCAGCCTGAAAAATTCTAAGCCTTCTCCCAGGGTGAGAAGACACTAAAGGGAACATGTGCCTGTCTGTGATCCATGTAGAAAACACTCTGCAGTGTTCCTTCCTGCAACAGCACTGATCTGACGCCCTTATTTAAGGTGAACTTCCATAGCGTCTCTCTTGCTAGCCAAAGATATTTTTTCCATACAGGAGAGGTCTAAATCAGTGTACAGTGAGAATATACCGAGAAACTGTGAACGGATTGCTTTAGCTTGAAATTTTTCTATGCATTTGTATTTTTCTAGGGTAGCTAAGACTCTTCTGTCATCACATACCACTACTCTTTGTTGACTTTAATGACAAGCTGTGTAAATGCGCTACTTCCTGCTGTATAATGGTCATTTTCCCGGTAAACTCAGACTTCCCTCCTTTAATTCTTTTTAGTAGAATACAGTCATGAAAAGAGCAGTTTTATTTTCCTAATGTAAAAGAGAAAGACATAATTATGCCTGTGTCTATGAACTGTGCTGATTTCTGCCGATGTGTCAGTTTGCTTTTTTTCTTCATTGAGAGCCAGTGTCTTAATGTCTCTTCTCACTATGCAGTTGGTAAAGATATTACCAGAATCTTCTTTCTAAGAGGAACTTTTTACAGTAAAAACACACATGGAATCCCATTGTATGAAGTTACAAAAATGCCACATGTACACTTGTTTTAATGCCAAGTGTTAGGGTTGGGGAAGTGGGGGGCGTGGAAAATTTATGGAAGTAGAAATTTCCTCTCAGGATTAGGTAGATAGTCGCTATTAGAACTTCTGGCCCTGGGCTTCTTTGTTACCTACTGTACCTGGTAACCCAGAATATCTTTGCCCACCATTGATCAAGTGTGTGACAAGGGTACCAGCAGTTGACATAATGGCTATATCACTGAACTCGCATGTAGTTGACCACAGTTCAAGTCCTGGATCTAGTGGCTTAAACTCATGCCAGGCACGTGTGTGTGCATGCCCAAGATCCCGAGAGGAGAATGAAGGAAAAGGGATTGCGGCGTGGCTATCCCCCGCTTGGGGGTGATTTCTCACTTTCTGTCTGTCTCTCTCTTTCTGGCAAGTGCACACACAGTATAGCAAAAACCTTTCCAAAAAAAAAGTGTGTGACAGGGAGGTACCCCTTTAGTTTTTGAGATGATTTCTATCACAATTCTGTAAAAATACTAAAAATGGCAAAGTGGAAGGCCACCAAGAATGCTAAGGTCTTTGCCCTGGGTGTCAGCAGTCACCATTGCTTTTCTATTTGAGTGCAGAAGACACCCCCATTTCCCTGATTTGAAAAAGTTCTGCCATTGAAACAGCACATTGAAATAGCAATCAGGGGGGGCCAGCAGGTTGCATAGTGGTTAAAGCCCCAGACTCCCACATAGTTAACTGTGGTTCGAGTCCTAAACGCAGTAGTGTGAAACACACAGCAGGTGCATGTGTGTGCATGCCCCAAGTCCCAAGAGGAAAATGGAGGAGAAGGGATTGTGGCATGACCACTACCCCTGGGAATGATTTCTCACTTTCTGTCTCTTTGTCTCTCTCCAGTGAGCACTTGTACCCTAGAGCAAAACTCTCTCAAAAAAAAAAAAAAAAGGGAAGGAAGAAAAAGAAATAGCAATGTGTTTCCATGTTTACCATTCATATTACCCATGACCTAGAAATAACAGCTGAAAGTGGTCTTCACTACTCATGCCAAAGACGATCAAGTCATTAACTTAATAAAGTATTAATGCATTAGATTTTATATTTTTAAAATTAAAGCTAACTAGAAATGTTACTCTTATAATGTAATGATATTCATGCACTGAATTCTAAGCCAACATGAACAAAAATGCTGCAGAAATAGCACATGGGTCACAAGTAGGAGAAACACTTGTGCTTTCTTTTCCATTTAAGGACAAAGGAAAACACTCTCTTTATCTATTTTAATTTAAGTTCCCTAAAGCTAAAATTGACCCTTTTGGCTTGACCTTAAATACATTTGCTTCCAAAAGAAGAGTTTGTAAAATATTCTTGTTAGTGTTCAAAAATCACACTCAAACAGTTAAAGAGGCCTATGAAGAAAATCACCAAAAGTAATCACCAAAATCCAGAAGAGAGAGCAAACTCTTGAAAAATAAAACAGCATTTGTGTCCTTCAGTATTTATTGAACCGAGGAAATGACTGACAGAGGGCAATACAATCCAATGCTCGTGTAGTAACTTTCATGTCACTTATTGAATTTGGTTCTCATATGTATATTGCATACACATAAAGAAATTCAAACCATCATCTTACATTCACTTAATGATTTATGGAATAGAGTAAAAACTAGCTCATAATGTAGTAAATATATGGTATTTAAGATCAGGTCACTACAGTAGGATTCTAAGTATTGCCAATTGAAAAGCTGGAAGTGTTATTACTGTTGCAAAGTGTTGACAATAACTGACTCCAGTAGCATTTTAAATACTTGGATCCCACAACTATTTTATGAACTCAAGCAATAAGCAGGTTTTCCAATTCACTTCAATTCCTCATTTCTCTTACCTGTGTCTTGGTACATTAAAAAGTGTTTCAGAAACTGTGTTAGTAGAATTATTTTAGTGGTATTATTTTGTGATTTGAAGTGTCTACTTGAATTGGTTTTATTTATCCTATGATACCATTGTTTAGGAAATAGTTTTAATTCAGTTTTGTTTCTATTTAGTTTTTTCAAGGGTGAAATATAAAAATTACTTCTGTTATTCTCTACCAGTAGAAAAAAAATTAAAACATTAGCTCTGTTGAGAAAGATGTAATAAAGGATTAAGATCAGTAATGATATCTACTAGGGGTGATTACGGCCAGTCGAATCACCTCTTTCCTTTGAATTATTCAACTTAATAAATTAACCCTCCCAAATACTTAAAATGTAAAATTATATTTTACTGCCCATTATCAACTAAAGTATTATTTGACATTGAGCACCAACAGGTTGTACTAATAAATGCCCATGTCATGCTGATGGCTGGGCAAATGAAAGATATCAAAATACACAACTGGCTTGGGGACACATGGCACAACTAAGGATCCGTTTATTTTATATCTGATTTCCTTCAAATGGATAGTTGGGCGCTCCATTTCTAAGAATAGATAAAGAAATAAAATGATCTTTGGCATTTCATCCTGCATTCTTCATCTTCTGTTATTTCAGTACTTGCATGTTTAGCCATCCTTAAGGGTCTTCCTCCATGACTGATGGATTATCTACCCTCTCAACAACAGCCAGGCCCTTTCTCCACACCTTCAATGGTTGCAAGAGAGTCAGGGGTGAAACATTTGGTAGCACTTTTCTTTGTTGTCTTGACCCAAGTGAGGCAACTTGAATGGATTCATTAATCACTGCCCTGTGTTTTCAATAAGACGTTGCTTCTCTGCAGACACACGCTGGACTAATGGGTTCCCAGGCTGCCTGTGGGAAACCACATTGCTAAGATGAGATAATCATATTTCAAATTGTGTGTGTCTTCTTTTAAAGTCAGCTCATGATACTCAGCTGGTGGCCTGACAAAAATGTGATGTCAAAACCATTTTTTGCAGGATATCGAAATAAGCAAATTCTGCAAGTAGCCAGACCTATGGAGAACATGTTCTTAGGCTGAACAATGTGATGCTGGTGATGAGGTCAACAAAAATTAATTTAATAAGGATAGATATTACTGGAAATAACTACTGTCTGAGGGCTTTGCACTACATTTAACTTGGGAATTGTGTCTGCACAGTTTAACTCTATGTATTTACTTGGAAACACACTTCATCTTAATTTGCAAAAACCAGGAAGTGTCCCTGCAAACCTCAGAGAAATCCTTGTCTTAATGCAGTGTGTGGATCAAATTTAGTTTTACATTTCTCTTTTTTCAATTCAAATATGGAGGGAAGGATAACTTTTTTATACAAATGCTTTGCTTCATCCTCCAGTCCCCTCATGGGGGGGAAAAAATCTCTCAAATCTTTGTCCAACTTTGGCTACGCAGACCGATGGCTGGTGACAGTCATTGTTGGGGGTCAGGAATGGAGGACCTCTTGTTGAATGAAACACCCAGGTCTGTATGGGTCAGTCGCGCCTGTGCTTCCTGGGTGGCTGGAACCACTGAAGACCGGTGTGCCCAGGCATCAGCGACTCGGGGTTCAGTCCAGAGCCAGGAGTGGCTGAGTGTTCTCATTTTCTCCCTTTTCCTCATGTTTCAGGGTCCCAGCTTCTACCACAGACTGAGATCTAACAAGAGGGGAGGGAAAAAGACACAATTACAGGCAATCATGACACAATTACAATCATGCTGACAACAATTGTGGAACCTTTCAGGCATTCAGATTTTCTCCTTATTCAGATACTCAAAATAACTACATACTTTTTTCCCTTTTGTGTCTCTGTTTGTGTGTGTGTGTTTTCTATACCACATTTTTATGGAGCGAAGCATTTTAGCATCTTCTTTATTAAAATTGCTTTGGTTAGGAAAAGGGATGTGTGTTTTAGCCACTCTGTGCCCGAGTGTCAAACATTGCATGGATCTGGAAATGGATGAAGCTAATTTTTGCAGGATTTTTAATCTATCAGAGAAATTTTTAAACCCTTTGTTTCTTAGAGTCATTGGAAACTATCATGCATAAAGTTAAGACCATAAGCTTTGGAATCAGATGGTAAATTTAGATTCTGCCCCAGAGATATTTTTAAACCCTTTGTTTCTGAAAGTCATTGGAAACTGTCATGCATGAAGTTAAAACCATGAGCTTTGGAATCAGATGGTAAATTTAGATTCTGCCCCTTACTGGCTGGGAAGCTTAGAGCAGTTCTTATAACTCTCATTTTTTTTTTTTCAGTTTTCTTGCCTATGAAGTAGAAGTACCACCTCCCTCCCACAGTTGTTGATAGAACAAAAGCTAATATTTTACATAAAGCATTTGATATACAATTGTGGTTAAAATTTATGAAGTATTTTCTTATCTCTATTCTTACAATAGTAGCAGCAGTAGTCTTTAGTTTCTTTTTATTTTATTTTTTATTTTTGGAGAGGCGTTTGTTATAGGATGCATGCGCTCACAGGAAGACTGAGACACAGACAGAAAGCGAGAAATCACCCCCCCAGAGGGATGACCACATCGCAATCCCTTCTCTCCCATTCTCCTCTCGGGATCTTGGGCATGCATGCACACGTGCCCAGCGTGAGTTTAAGCCACCGTGTCTGGGACTCGAACCGCGATCGACCACATGGGAGTCCAACAACATAGCCATTACACCAACTGCTGGTCCTAGTTTCTTTTTTCTTTTAATTTTTTTTTCAACTTACAGAGGGCGTGTGTGAGCACCACTCAGTGGAATGTGGTCATGCCACAATTCTTTTCCTTCTGATTTTTTTTATAATTTTTTTAAGAATTACTTTATTTTTAATTTGACTAGAGAAAGACAGACAGGGAGAGGGAAGGTAAGAAAGCAAGCCAGCAGGTCTGGGATTCGAACCATAGTCAGCCATGTGGGAATACACCACCACCACCTGCTGGCTTTCCATCCCATCAGGATATGGGGCATGTGTCCACCACATGTGCCAGGTGTGTTTTTCCAACCACCACGGCCAGATTTTGAACCATGGTCATCTGTGTGGGTACTGGTTCCCAATACACAGCACTTAACCACTGTACTACCAGACTGGCCTGATCTTTAGTTTCTGGTGTGTTTTTTAATTGAATAATAATTTATTTTCTAACTTTATACATGAATTAAAACTAAAATTATACCTGATAATAATCATTACACACTATATTCATATACTGAGAAAATACATTGTAAGTGCTGTTAGGTTAATACATTTTTTAAGACTGAAATTCTTTTCCAGCTTTCAGAAAATATAAGAGTTTTGTGAGCAATAGATATTCAATAAACATTCATATACTAAAATTGCTCAAAACCTTAAGACAATGTTTAAATTAGAATGCCCAAATAAGTAAAGTGTACCTGTATGTGCAGTAAATAGTTTCACTCAGTAGACTTGGGGTGTCCAAACACTGCACATTCACGAAGTGTCCAGAACGACATTCGACTGGCTCCCCTGAGCCCTTGAATGTTTTTCCTGATAAGAATGTCTTTGCATATCTGAAGCTCTGAACCAATCAAATCATTTACATTAACAGTATGGTGTATGGTGAATGTCTGCTCTAGGAATGCCTGGACCCTAGGATCCACTGAATCAGTCTGACCTCTTCTGGGTAGCAAGAAGGAGGCTGAAGTCTGAGTAGCTCAGGTCAGTCACATAGGTACTGTATGCCCCGGCAACTGATCCCCCAGGAACAACCCCAGACACGAAGGCACAGGCGAGCTTCCCTGGTTGGTGAGTCTGCATGTGTTGTCACAAATCATTACTGAGAGAATTCAGCACTGTCCACATAACTTTATTGGGAGGAACACTGGAAGCTTGCACCTGGTCTCAACTGGACCCTCTATACTTTTTTCATTTGCTGATTTTAAGTTATATCCCTTTGCTGTAACAGGTCATATCTGTGAGTGAAACAATTTTCTTTTTTTTTTTCTTTTTTTGGAGAGGTTTTTGCTATAGGGCGCGTGCACTCGCCAGACAGAGAGAGACAGTGAGAAATCACCCCCCAGGGGGGATGGCCATGCTGCAATCCCTTCTCCTCCATTCTCCCCTTGGGATCTTGGGCACGCACGCACACGTGCCTGGCATGAGTTTAAGCCACCAGGTCAGGGACTTGAACCGCAGTCGACTACGTGGGAGTCCAGCGACATAGCCATTACGCTAACTGCTGGTCCCGAGTGAAACAATTTTCTATGTCTTGTGAATCCTTCTAGTAAATGATCAAGCATAAGGGTGTCCTTGAGGACCTCCAACACAATATATAATAATGTGAATATCCATTATGTTTTACATAATATGTGGTATCATTCTAAGGTATATGAACTTATTTATTTTCACAACCTAACAATCTTAAAGGATGGTGCCATTCTTGTCTCCATTTTATAATGGGAAAAATCTAAGAGGCTAAAAAGTTAAATGACATAAGAAAGGCAACACAAATACAGAGTGGTGAACAGGACAGGTTTCTTTCCACCACACTTCTCCTGGGTGCACCTAAGGCATTGGAATCATTTAGCTGAAACATGTAATGTTTCTTCCATACACCATCAATATAATTTTTTGCCCAAGTTTTAAATTTACTTATTTCTTCCATAAGCAAGCGAGTCAGGTACCCAAAGGGAATTTTTATGTTATGATCTACCCCCCAGCTTTAGCCAGCCCAGATCACTGACATGCACACACCCTGCATGTTCAGGGAGGCTCTGGACATGAACCTGGAACTTTCCAGTATAGGTCAGCCGGACTCAGAGCATTGAAGGTGTGTGGCTGAGCCACCATCCGGGCCCAAATTCTTATGTCCTTTCAGGATATTATGAAGGGGCGTTATATAGTTCATAGGTAAATAAACCATGAGCTTAATTTGGTGCAAAAAACTTTGAAATTCATGTATAGTTTTTCATAATGTTTTCGTGAATCTTTTGAATACCCTCTTGTATGTATAAAATTAAGACATCAACAAGTCAAATAGGTATGGTTGCTTCAGAACAATTGGTTTCTAGTCTAAATAGCAATTCGCTCAAATAGTTCAACCTTAGATACCAAGCCAAGTCCTAGAAAATGAAAATGGTTTCATCTATTGCTGGGACAGGGGAGAGAAATCCTCTGGTAGTATTGTAGTTTAACCTCCACTCTTGGGCACATTTCCTGTGCACGTCTCTTTTTTAATAAAGAGTCTGATGTGTATTTGGGGAAAACAAGAGTGTAATTTTCTGAAAGGAACAGAAAAAGCTGAAAATCTAGAAGGCATTAAGGCCAACAACAAACAATGTAAACTAAATGAATGCCGCTGTCCACATAGGCCACCTCCCTTCAGCACCTTGGACAGCCACCGAACTGCTTTGCCCTGGAGCAGAAGCTCCAGCCCAGGGGGCTTTGGACAGGTGACAGTCGCTGGCCTGTTGAAGGCCGAGCTTCAGACCTATGCCAGTAACCCCCGCCAACTCTCACCCCACCTTGACTGCGCAGCTGGGGAGGGTGTGGATTGGAGGGACAAGGAGGGGGGCACTGGGCAAACGAGCTGGCTTCCTCTGCAGCCAATCCCAATAGCTGGCATTGCCGCCTAGGCTCTGCCTTCTGTAGGTTCAATGGAGGTACTGGATCCTCATGAGAGCACGAATCCTATTCTTAAGTGATCAGTTCATTGCAATATTGCAATGTGGTAGTGGTAGAAAGGGAGTGCACCGTGGATGTGGTGCACTTGGGCCATCCTGGCGCCCAACTCTTGCCCATGTTTGGAGGGATTGTCTTTCATGGGGTCAATCCCTGGTGCCAGGAAGGTTAGAGACCACTGACCTAGGACTCTGGTGAAAATGGAGAATGTTTATGGAGATTTATTTTAGGGACCTTAAATTATATTTCTCTTCTATCCTGTGATTTGACTTCACAAAAGTCCCCACTTACCTACAGGAGATGCATTCCAAGACCCCCCAGTGAATGTGTGATATTGGAGATAGTACTGAACTCTAAATGAACTATAATTTTCCTACACATACAAGTACATACATATGATAACGTTTGATTTATAAAGTAAGCACAAGAAGAGATAAACAGCACAATAATAGGACAGTAGACTGTTAAAAAAAAGTTATGTGAAAGTGGTCTTTCTCAAAATAGTTTATTGTACTATACTCACCCATTTTTGGACCTTCGTGATTGTGGCTGAAAGCACGGAATGTAAAACCATGGACAAGACTACTGTGTTTTACAACATGGTGTACAAATGACAAGCACAGAGTTTGAGAAGCTGTGTCAACCTGGTAGGAAATCTGCAGCAAGGGTCATGAAGTGTCCTTGAAAATATCCAACTTGACAAAACTGACTCTCCGTGCCCATCCAGGAGCAAGTCTGCTAGAAAGTTCTTCCTTATACTGAACTCAAACCTGCTCTTTAAAAACTTCTACATCCTGTTTCTGGTTTTACCCACTAGAGACAGGTTATGTGCAATTGTTATGGTGTGGCTAATGGTTTGTCCCCAAAGGTTTATGTTTTGTAATTTGGCCTTAGTGGGCAGTGATTAAATCATGGTGACTGGATCATGGAGGCCTAGACTCATGAATGGATTATTGTGATCTCATGTGAGAACAAAGTGGCTTCTAGCTGTCATGAGAAAGGGTTAGTTCTCAGCCAAATG